GCTGGCACCTTAGCCGGTTGAGCTATAGGCGCCGAGCCGCCATTGGGGTTTTCTTAGTGTGTTCACAGGGCGGTGCATCCATTGCACTCAGTGTAGAAGGTGCGTGTCCCCACACAGGAACCCATCAGCAGTCGCTCCCTGGCCACTCACCCGCTTTGTGTCTGTGGATTTGCCTGTTCCTGGCACTTCCTGTAGATGGATGTGCAGCCTTTCGTGTCTGCCTTCTCTCACCACAGCTGCTGCTTTCAGGTTCCTCGTATTGCACCATGGATTGTATCTCCTTCCTTTTTTGGATGAATAATACTCCATTGTGCAGATACACCCCACATTTTGTTTATCGATTAATCAGTTGATAGGTTTCTTCCACTTTCTGGGTATTAGGAGTAATGCTTCAGTGAACATTCTCATACGAGTTTCCATGTCGATGTGTTTTCAGTTCTTTGGGGTATACACATAGGCACAGAATTGCTTGTTTATATGGATACCATACATTTAACATTTATGAAGAACTCCCAAACTGCGTTCCAAAGTGGCCAGAACATTTGACGCCCCCATCAGTGCAAATGATCATCTCCCCATATCTTCACTGACAATTGTTACTGTCTGCCTTTTTTCTTTTTTTTTTTTTTTTTGAGGTAGAGTCTCACTACGTCGTCCTCAGTAGAATACTGTGGCATCACAGGTCACCACAACCTCAAACTCGGGCTTAAGCGATTGCCTCAGCCTCCCAGTAGCTGGGATTATAGGTGCCCGCCACAACACCCAGCTACTTTTTTTTGTTATTGTTGTCGTTTAGCAGGCTGTGGCCGGTTTGAACCCACCAGCCCTGGTGTATGTGGCCAGCACTGTAACTGCTGAGCTACTGGCGCCAAGTCCACCATTTCTTTTTTTTGTCTAATTGCCCTGGCTAGAATGCCCAGCAGAATGTTAACTAGACATTACAAGGTAAAACATCTTGGTCTTTGGGGAAAACATTCAGACTTCGCTAGTAAGTGTAATGTTAGCTGTGGTTTTGTTAGGGACCCTTATCAAGTTGGGTTATTCCTTTTCGTTCTTAGTTTATTAAATGTTTTCATTATGAAAAAGTATTAGATTTTACAAATGCTGTATCTGCAGTTATTGAACTGACCAACTGGTTTTTGTCCTTTGGTTCTATGAATGGTGTATTACATTGACTAATTTAGCTAGTTTAGTCTTTCTTTTTTTTTTCTTTTTTGTTGTTTTTTGTTTGTTTGACACAGAATCAGTAGAGAGCTGTGGTATCATAGCTCACAGCAACCTCAAACTCATGGACTCAAGCCATCCTCTTGCCTCACTTGCCTCAGCCTCCAGAGTAGCTGGGACTACAGGCGCCCACCACCACCGCACCTAGCTCTTTTTTAGAGACAGGGTCTCACTCTTGCTCAGGCTGGTATCCAATTCCAGAGCTCAGGCAATCCACCCTCTTCCCAAAGTTCTGGAATCACAGATGAGCCACTACGCCCGGCCAGTTTAGTCTTATATTTTAATTTATTTTTTTGCAACAGGTCTTGCTTTTTCACCCAGGCTGAACTACAGTAGTGCAGTCATAGTTCATAGCAACCTTGGACTCTGGGCCTCAAGTGATCCTCCTGCCTCAGCTTCCCAGGTAGCTAGGACTACAGGTGTGTGCCACTGCACCTGGCTTCTCCATCTTAGAATAATTTTCCACAAACTGTTTTTTAGTGCTTAAATGACTAGAAAATATCAAGATTTTTCTGCATTGTCACATGTATCCATCTAGTCATATTTGCATAAACTTGGTTTTGGGGTATACACATAGGCACAGAATTGCTTGTTTATATGGATACCATACATTTAACATTTAACTGTACCTTAAAACATAAAAACAGGCTCGGCGCCTGTGGCTCAAGCAGCTAAGGCTCCAGCCACAAACACCTAAGGTGGTGGGTTCGAATCCTCAGCCTGGGCCCACCAAACAACAATAATGGCTGCAACCAAAAAATAGCCGGGCGTTGTGGCAGGCGCCTGTGGTCCCAGCTACTTGGGAGGTGGAGGCAGGAGACTCGCTTGAGCCCAGGAGTTGGAGGTTGCTGTGAGCAGTGAAGCCATGGCACTCTACCCAGGGGGACAACTTGAGGCTCTGTCTCAAAAAAAAAAAAAAACACCGTAAAAACAGGCTCCACACCTGTAGCTCAGCAGCTAGGGCGCCAGCCAGATACACCAGAGCTGGTGGATTCAAATCCAACCTGGGCCTGCCAAATAACAATGACAACTACAACCAAAAAATAGCTGGGCGTTGTGGTGGGCACCTGTAGTCCCAGCTACTTGGGAGGCTGAGGCAAGAGAATCATTTAAGCCCAGGAGTTGGAGGTTGCTGTGAGCTGTGACACCACCGCATTCTACCAAAGGCAACAGCTTGAGATTCAGTCTCAAAAAAATAAGTAAATAAAAACAGATGGACTGTTTGTGCACCTGTGCCTGCTGGTGGAGGGTTTCCCACTCTGGCTCTCACATGAGTGTGCTGACCAGAGCTTGTGAAGTCCTGTGACTTCCCTGACACCCTCACTAAACTATGTCCTTGGAAAACAGTGTCCTCACTCCTGACATGCGGTGACTCCCCTGACAGCATGTCTGTGTGAGGGGCTGTGAGCTCAGAAGTGCTCTTCCACTGGACTTTCCCTGATGCTGTGTGTCACTGCGTGACTCCTGTAGTCTGTGCCCCCGGGGTAACCTGGAGGGGTGGCCTTACACTCAACTGCCCTCACCAGTGGGCCAGGAGAGCAGTGATGGTGGTCACTTGGTGGTAAATGACCTGGTTGCTGGCGTGCGGGTGGGTGAACCTGCCGAGTGGGGGAAACGGAGCACTCATTGCGGTGCGGTTGGGGGGGCGGGGCAGAGTCCAGTGACCGCCCCAGGTCTTCGTGCTCCAGGTGTGTGCACGTGGGGCAGGGTGTCTCTGACAGGATGCTGCAGCTGTTCTGTTCTTCGGTGGAGAAAGCAGAGTCCTTACCAGGAAACGAGGTGGTGGCCAGAGCATGCCACAGTCCACCTCAAGGCAGTGGGGGCGGTGGTCTGGGAGCATCACATAGAGCAGAGAGACGGTGTCGTCCAGGGCTGTGCTGTGGAGTTTCCGTGTGTTTTGTGTGTGGCCCTGTTACGGTTCTTTGTTACAGTGTTAGGTGTGCTGGCCTTGGGAAACTAGATCTCCGTGGCTTCCCCGCCTCTCTGATTGGGAATCACAGGACCCTGGTTCCAGAGAAGTCTGAGCCTGCACACTGAAAGCTGATGGTATTTCCACCTGGTGGTCTGTGGAACCCCAAGAGGACTGGGTTCAGAGAGCCTTGAGACTGCGGTACATGCAGAGATGCCTGGAGAAGGCTCCCCAGGAAAGGCAGGGCCTGAGCCTCTTCCTCAAACCTATTCCATCCATCTCCTTTGTAATGGCCTGTATAGTGAACCAGTAAGGTGTGCCCCTGACTTCTGTGAGCTGCTCCAGCAAGTTAAACCCAAGGAGGGGGTATAGGAACCCCAATTTGAAGCTGGTGGCCCAGACCTGTGACGGGGGGTGGGGGCAGTTTTGGGGACTGAGCCCTACCCCTGTGGGCAGAATGTCAGGATTGAATCAAGGGGCACCAGCTGGGGTCCTTTGCTTGCTGTGTGGGAAAGCTCCACATTGGTCCCGCAGTTGTCTGCATGATGAGTGTGTGTGACGTGACTAGAGGCCGGCGTGTGTGGTGCGGGGCGGGGGGTGCTGCCTGGGCCACAGAAGGTAAGGGGAACATTCAGAGGACAGAGTGGGCTGTGGCAAAGCCAGACTGGGGGAGCCCAGAGCCCGTGGTGGGGACATGGGCAAGTTCTGTGGTGACCGGCCAACAGGTGTGGGGAAGGCGGGGTTTGGGCTGAAGTGTGAGGTGCACACAGGACACCCGTCAGGTTTGCGATAGTGAAACCCCAGAGGGGCAGGTGCCAGCACTCCAGCCGCCCAGGCTGTGCTGCTTCCCAGCATCTGCGTGAGGGCCGATGTCCCTGTCTTTGAAGCCCCACGCGTGTCTTTCCTGTCTGTCCGTGCCTGGCCCCTGTGGTCGTGCCTGGTGGCCCTTGGTTGGTTTTCATGGCTGGTGCTGCCCCGCCATGTGAGCACCCCACAGCGTGCTGTCTTCTTTCTGCTGTGGGGCATTTGAGGTGTTAGTTCTGAAAACACCTTTGCGCAGGGTGTGGTGGGGGTGGGCTGAGCACCTGAGTGGGGTTTCTGGGTCAGAGTGCCTGTGTTTGGCTTTAGTGGACATTGCCAAGTAGCTTTTGGGGTCACCAAACCAACCTGCAGTCCTCCTGTGAGGAGGCCTGGAGCTCTTGCAGCTGACTGGTACCGTTCCCTGTGCTCACTGGCCAAGGGTGGGTTTGGTGACACTCCGTGCAGGTGATTGTTGACTCTCTGAGTGCTTCTCTTGAGACTTGTTTTCTGACTCAGTTCCAAGTAGTAAGACAGAGCATGCTCACGGGGGCATGCGGAATTTGAGACCCACACTGCGTCCTATGGGCAACTGTTTGGTCACTGCAGCTGAATTTGTTGATCAGCTTACTGTGGTTGTGTGCCAAGACGTGTTTAAGTAACTTACTCTGGGGCTTACTGAGGAGGGGAAGGAGCTGGCAGCTGCCTAGCATCTCATGGGGCTGATACTGTTTTGACAATGACGGCGTAGTAATTCTAGGTGATAAGTTTAAGTCTTGTATCTTTTTGGTCAGAGATTGATTGGAATAGTTGAGTGTTGGCAGGATTTTAAGCAGGGTAGTGGTGATGTTACCTTTATGCTTGTGAATAGATTCCTGTGTGCATCATGGACCCTGGACTCCAAGGGGCAGGAGAGGAGATGGGGGACACCAGGAGCCTGTTAAGTAATCCCATGGTCACTGTAGTGCTGCCTAGTGGCAGTAAAGTTGGAGAGAGGGAGAGGAAAGGAAATATTGACACTTGAATTTTGTTTTGAAAAACTTAATATTCTGGAAAAATACAAGAATAATAACCACAAACACCTGTATATTCTCCCGTAGAACTAGCCACTAGAGCTACATGACTTGGCCAAGGTCCTAGGCTCTCGGGTCTCCTTAAGTCTGGACAGCCCTAGGCAGCCTTGCCATCACCAGCCGTGCTGCCTCAAACCCCTTGGGTTTCTGCCTCCAGTGCCCTCAACGATTCGGCCCTACTGTTGTTCTCCTGGCTAGCCCCTACCTGGGGCCCCAGCCCCCCACCTCCCTGCACCCTGCACCCCAGCCACCAGCTCCGCAGTCCCGACACCGAGTGGTGTGATGTCTGTACTTTCTCTTCACCCCTGAAACATAAAGCCTGTGGAGGCAGGGGCTGTGGTGCAGATGAGCTGCCGGCTGCACACCTCCAGGGGCATGGAAACTGGGTGAGCCTGTGCTTCTCGGGCCGGGGCGGGGGGAGGGGGGGTGTCACTCTTCTTTGTCCTGAGACTGCCTTCGCGCGTTCCCCGTTCCCCAGTTGGCCCACACTTCACCCTTTCCCATTCCCAGAGATGGAGACTCTTGCTGTCTCCTAAGCCACCTCTCTCTCTGCCAACACAGGGATACAACCCAACTCATTGTCTTTTTAAAGTTCCATTGACTTTGTTTCCTCTTTGAGTCCTTCCCCTTCCTTGGCCACCTCTCTATTCCTGCTTCCTTTTATTACAATGATGTCCTTTAAAATCCAGTGTCTCTGTCCTCATCACCTTCCTCCCTTTGCCTGCCCCTCCTGGTCATGGAGCCTCCTCTGCAGCCCATTCTAAAATCATATGCTCACACTGCTGGAGTTTGGCCTCCTGATTTAGAGCAGAAGTGCTGCGTTCCTGTCAGTAACTGATGACTGGGCTCTTTCTCATGTCACCGCAGCCACACAGGGACCCCTGCCTCCTCCTAGAAAGGAGCTGAGAGGATTCTGTTCCAGGTGGTGGTTAACGTCTCTATTTTGTTGACTCCATAATACTGCTCATTGCCACCTGACTTCTTTTCATATGAGTGTTCGTTTTTCCTAGTGCTGATTGCCTAGCTTTCTCATATGCTCAGCTCTCTGTGTCTCTAGCACTTTATCTCTTAAAAGCAGACCTTCAGCACACCTCAAATGCAGACACGCTGGACAGGTGCCCCACCTGGTCTGTCTGCACCGGTTTTGAGAAGTCAGATCCCTGATCTTCTATTCTTGTGTGTGTGTGTGTGTGTGTTTTTTTTCCTTTGCTTTGCCAAGTAGCATGTTCTAGTGGTGTCCTGGGAAAGAGTTTTTTTGTTTGTTTTGGCTCTTTGCCTGTTTGAAAACATTTTTACTCTTCTCTCAAACGTGATTGAAAATTTGGCTAGGTATAGAATTCTAGGCTAATTTTTATCAGAAGTTTGAGGGAGGTTGATATCTAGTTTACTGTTTTTCCTGCAACTTTTGTGATGCCACCTGAGTCCCTTGTTGTATGTGACTTGTTCATTTTTTCTGGAAATTTTTGGAATCTCCTTTGTAACCCTTTGTGGTTAGATTCCCTCGGCCTGAGTCTGCCCATAAATTGTGCTGGGCACTTGTTGGGCACTTGCAGCCTGTGGACCCGTGAGCCTCTCCCTTCTCTCTGTCGTCTTTCCTCAGCTCCTTCCCGGGTGGGCCTGTGGCTGTCCCCTGCTGGCTGTGCCCCTGCTGTCTTCTCTGTTCCCTTTGCACGAGGCCTCCCAGTGTTTGTCCTTGTTGCTGCTGTCTGAACTTCACATTGAGCTTCCTCCTTTCCTTTCTCCTAGCACACCCGTTGGATGGACCTGTGATGGATGGACCTGCGGAGCCTGCGTCCTGCCCTGCGCGGCCCCTGGGGCTTGCTGCTTGGGCACGTGGGGCACAGCGCAGCATCCGTCCCCTCTCCATCCTGCGGGGATGCAGCAGCCCTGCTTCCTGGGGCTGCTAGGAGGCTCAACTCGGTTAGTACAGGGATTGTGCCTGCTTAGAACAGCACCCGACTCCTAACCATTACATTCCCATGTTGGTGATGTGAAATGACTTCTCAGCCCTTAGCTCCCTGAGGACATTAATTCCCATTTTTCTGACACTCTGTTGATGTATGTCTTTCCAAGTCCCTTCTTTGTTCCGGTGCCTTCTCTGCCAACAGAGGGGCTTCCCTGTGGTTGGTCATGCCTTTGAGGACCTCTCCCTTGGGAATGCTGCGGAGGGGGGTGAGTGTGCTGCTCTCTTGGAGTCAGCTGGGGATGAAAAATGGCAGTGGCCGTATGCTGCCTCCTGTGGACAGGACAGATAGGACCCTTAGCCCCGTAAAGACTTGCGCATCCTGAGCCAGTCCATGCCCTTCCTCAGAGTTGCCTCACACAGCAGGCCTGCTCACGTCCTCTGACGTCCAGAGTGGGGGGAGGGGAGGGGATGAGTCCCCCACATTCACGGAGCTGTCTGAGACGACTCTCAGGGGCTGCCAGAGATCATCGCAGTCCCGATGGTAACGGGACGTGCAGCAGAGACCGTCTGTGTCAGCAAAGTGCCTCAGCGAGTGGCTTGGCTGTCACAGTGGAACCTGTGGTGAGAGAGGCCCGATGCCACCGCGGACATGCCAGGCTGTGCTGTGTCCTGGCAGAAGGTCTCCGGAGTCCCCAGCCTGGCACCCTCCAGCAGTACCATGTTCATGCTTTTGCCATCAGTGTGGATTTTTATAATGATATCCATCAGATCCAGCCAATAGTGATTACATTTTATTGACATTCAGTTTGTACCTTTATTTTTGTTTTAGGGCTTGTCTAAGCTCTACAGACATTGTTTCTAACTTTAGATTCTTGCATATTTGCATAGCTTAATGAAAATTATTTCTTAACACTGGCAATTATGGGAGTTTCTCTTCCGATTCATTTTAATTAAGTTTGAAACTACTGAAAGAACTAGAATGCCATTAATTATATAATACTGTATTCTCTGAGTATACATGACACAGACTTAGTCTCTTTTAATCCAGTACAGAATTTTTTTTTTTTTTGAGACAGGCTCACTCAGTAGGGTGCTGTGGCATCATAGCTCACAGCAACCTCAAACTCTTGAGCTCTAGCAATTCTCTTGCCTCAACCTCCCAAGTAGCTGGACTACAGGTGCCCGCCACAACACCTGGCTATTTTTTTGTTGCAATTGTCATTGTTTAGCTGACCCGGGCTGGGCCGAGTCCGAACCCACCTACCTTGGTGTATGTGGCCGGCACCCTAACCACTGAGTACAGGTGCCAAGCCTAGTACAGAATATTTTCGTTTCTTTTAAGACAGTTAGGCTATTTTGAGTAAAATGAGAAGCAGCCTAATCCTTTCCCCAAGTCTCACTGAACATTTTTTTTTTTTTTTTTT